TTAATTAACTATCTTTCACATTAGAACCCAATTATTTGACCGTTTCGGGCCCCCTGAAAGCACCGCACGCGTCAATGTCTGTACAACCTGCCCCGAAGGTTGGCGGAGATCCATTAATCTTTGTCTACAAGAAACCTAACGCTCCGAGTAAGTCGAGCCTACTTTTAATCTTTAAACGCCTGCTCGTCCGTCCTCATGCGCCTACACCAAAAATACAAGTGCACTACTGAACATTATGTGTGTGTTGGATATGCACTATCTTTATCTAGGGTTAATAATTATTGCATATGCAGTATTATTAGAGCTGTATGCACTTTGCCTGATTTTATTTAAATTTTGATCATTTCTCGCATACCGGTGGTGGGGTATTTTTGAAATTTTATGTATTATTATGACGAACAGTAGGAACATTTAGAATGCAAAAGAAGTGCGAGAATTAGGAAGTGTTCTTTGAGAAAAATGAAATTTCCTGGATAATCCCCAAATTCAAGAGATTAAGAAAGGCTATTAATTAGAAGACTGAATTCAAAGTGCTGTCTCAATTTGAAAACCCTACTCATCCACTTCATCTATATAAAAAGAGTTTTCTTTTAGCGAGCATGTTTTAGACCTATTACCAGTAATGTATAACTATTTATTCAATATCTTCCTTTGAATGCTGATATATTTTCTAGCGTTTACCGTGTCCTCAGGAAGTCGTCCATCAGTTGAGATTCCGTTTGAATTTTTCAGCAAAACCTTTTAAATAACATGTACATCAAGAGCATTCACCAAATAGCTTGAGTTTGTGGATATTAGTTCTTATGAAGATGGCCCTGTGGACCATATTTGAGTCTGCCTCGAAAGAGCAAACAACATTATAGCACAGAACGAACGCTCACAGCGTAACCCAAAACTTGCTGTTGCTACGATTTATAAAAGCAGCTTCTACAAAGGTTATTCCTCTGAAAATCGCTTTATTAGCAAGGGCGAATTTACTAACTAAGAAGCATCCGCACTGTTCAATTTACTAAGAGCATCAGAATAGCCTTGCAAAATATGCACAAAACTGCCAAGTTAATTTACATCATATCTATGGCCTGCAACTCTCGCTTTTCCGCATATGCATAGGGCATTTTTGATACTTTTCCCTTTTTCTAAAATGGTTTATTTAACCTGCACTCTTTTGACACGTTGTAGCCCCTACGTTCCCCAATGCCGTAAAGCCTCAGTACGTACAGGAAGTCCCTGAAAATGAGGAGATCAACCATGACATAGTCTTTACGACCAAACCCG